CCATTTATCTGTTACGACCCATGAACCGTGGCCACTGACCATCATTCTCTAACCCACTCTGTCACCGACCTTCCTTCTAGTTCCACACGATCGCCATTGTTCCTGAGTCTATAAGCAAGGTCGTGATTCATAACTGGACGAGATACTACGAACGAGAAGCCGTAGATTATTTTATTGAATAGTATTAGGTCGTTTTCACATCACGGCTTCATAGAGGTTCTAAGGAAAGATGCTTGCACCATTTTGTTTAGTCTAGCATATGATTCCATCCAAACAGTCGCTGTGTCAAGCTAACTTGGATGTTTTTACTCACATCTCGTCCGTGATACTCATGTTTGAAGAGATAAGTTATCAGTTTTCTAGGAAGAGATTTACACACGTTTTGAATAGTGTAAACTCAGACTCATTTGTCAAGAGCTGATTAGTGATGATCGAAGAGGCAAGTTCTTCAAATTTTAGGTGAAGGATACACAGATCATGGGCTGATATTGGTGCCTCAACCGTACATTTTTGTAATCACAGTGGTATTTCGTGGTGATGCGTTCCAAAATGCATGACCTCAAATTTGTTTTAGTTAAATAGTTACTGCTATGTTGTCCGGGTCACTCGGATCCCTGGCTATATTTTCGTTCAGATATTCAGTCTTATAGCTGTATACTGTTATGAGATCGTTCGCACATAGCAATGATCTTCCAAAATTTATATCTTTACATATATCATTTATGTACATAGGGAACTAGAGTGGACATATTACACCTACCACGATAACTTTAATAGTTATTGGTCTTGGTGATGAATGGCAGTCGTAGTATTTTACTATTTGTTGTCGTCCGCTTAGGAATGAAACGACCCACGAATGTGGGGGAATACTGATTTCTAATGACTTTAGTTTGACGAGTAGCCTTTTGCATGGGACCTAGTCAAATGTCTTCCTAAAGTTGAAGAATAGAACTGATACTAGAAGCACTTTGTTTTAATTCTGAGTTATATCACTTAGATAGGCCTCAGCAACCCATGCCTGGTGGTCGATATGAGATTGTTATTAAGTAAGTGTTGTATTACCACCGCCATTACTAGAGTCTCCATCACCCTGGATAATACTGAGGTCATATTTGACTGTCACTAATTTTCCTCCATCGGTGTAGGCCATGCATTAGTTTTGCAGACGATACGTGTAGTCTGTCAGATTTCAAGGTAACACATTGTAGAGAGTTTTATGGTAATAATTCAGAAAGCAAAACAGACTGACCATCGCTTCCATTTTTAGCATGCCAGCTCGGACATCATCAGTTTCAAGATAAGCCTAGAAATATTCTGTGCAATAAAGTTAACGTCATTAACTGAAGAAGAGCCACTACCTATCATTCCTCAACCAACTTTTCCCTCGATCTTCCTTCTCACTTATACCCAGTCGCCATTCATTTTTTCATATCTATATCCAATTTTTAGTGCAGTGTGTTACGTGGTCTGCCTCTGCCTTCAACCATGATGCTTTGAAATTAGAGATAACACATATAAGAGTAAATAACTAAATAAATGAAGTAAATTAACACTAGCTTAGATAATAAGAAGGAAACCGAACAGAATAATTTTAGCACAACCAGAGCTGTTATCAGTTCGAACATGTCAATATCATGTAATTTTTTAGTCAAGGTGATTTTGTGTGAGACTTTAAAATGTTATTTGTGAGTGTGAAAGATGGCAAAAAATATATGTAATTTGTGACATGGTCTAATGAATGTTTACTAATTGGAATGTCAACGAAAGCTATAATTGTCTTGCTGCTCTTAATTTTCCAGCTGTCGCATGTCGTGACAATTGAGCTCACCTACATCCTGCAATCGGTAATGTTGAGGGACGCGTCGCACTGTATGGGATTTATTGTCGTCACGTCTTTGCTTCACTTCGAGAATACGTAGCTAAAACGAAATGCAAGGGAATTTCTTCCTATGTGTGTTTTTTTTTCTTTGTACGCCGTCTTTGTAACTTCTTGTACGCCTGGGACACTTTCTTCTTTATCTTCTTAGATAATGGATGATTACTTTTCACGATCATGTCTGTTTGTAGCCATTCTGTAGTCTTTAGATAATTACCTAGGCAATTAGACACTCGCCGTGCATCTAATGGCACTCAAGAATGCTAGCACTTTTTTCAGCCATAAACTGGCTGCTGATTGTCGACATACTGAGGGAAATGTTAGGAAATATGACTTTACTCCGGAATTGGCAGAAATATCACATACTGAAATGTGGGTCTAAACGTATTCCCCTCTCTTTCGAGTGACTCTTCTAAACTGACTAACCCATCTGTTAGAACATCACAGTCTCTTATCGGCAAAATGGTAGCCCCCCATATATCAAGACTGGGTAGTACAGAACCACTGTGTACATTATATGTCCCGAAACTCTAATGTACGTACGACATATACACTCATATTCACTAACTCCTATCTGCACTCAATTAAGCAATAACTTGATTGATGTAAACCAATATCTTGGTGTGCACAATCGTAAAGGAAAATGACCTCTGAAATTCAAAATTCTGTCTCTTTGCTTATCACTTCTAAAATTTCATTGTCCTACACGATTGGGTAACAGTCTGCATTTAAGATAAGCGACGTTTTTGTGACAGCGGTTATATTGTGATTCAGTTTACCCATCATCAAGCCTGGCCTAGATTTTATTGATAGAACTATGAGTACTAGTGTCAAATGCAAATAAACCTTTTCGGTGGGCACTTGTTATAACCGTACTGTTTTCGGAAGCATTTCATTCCAGGAAACGAGGACCCACAGATCCTGGATGGTATGATTAGTTTCGTCGAATCTCCTCTGAGTTTTCGACTCCTTATGAACATTCTTCCATTTAATTCGATTACCAAATAATCACTAAGATCAGATTCCAGTTGCAGGTTTTGTGTGCCGTTCTGAAAAAACCTTATGACTACGGACTTGATGACATTACCTCACTTTTCGGGAATTACGGTACTGCGGAATTTCAAGTTTCGGGCTTCAGACTGTTCGAAATTTATAAAGAAGTTCCAATATCCATTTGGCTGAATGAAAAGAGGAGGAGTATCCTAAACTTGATGTTACCATTGTGAATACTATCCGCTTTACATGCTTCTTTTTAATTTTATTTATTCATATTTTTTGTATGAATATTCAAGGCTCACTTAAATTTATATTTACAACCAAGTTGATTACTGACTATCTGAGACTCAAGATATTCTACTTCTACTGCTCCACAAAGTCTTTTCAAGAACAGAATCTCGTCGTGAACTTTCTGAAGTAAACTGACTCTCCATCATCAAATCATCGTCATCACGTTGTATGGCGCCTACGCATCGATATTTAATAACCTCGATCTGTTGTAATCTGAGACTTACTTCACATCATTCTCAACAATTACTGAATAAACCCGCATACAAACATTAAATCTCACCAAATTATTGAATTACCCCAACATCTAGACATATATATATATATTGCGGTTCAGTTTTATTCGCCCCCACAAAAATACGCATTAAATAGCCCGCCTATATATTTGATTTTCCATGTTTTGACTCCTTTCCCCATAAGTTCTGCAATTACGCTTCAAGAATTTTTCATAAAAAACGAAATCTACCACTACTACAGACATTCTTCAGAGCTTTTGCCGGAACTTCATCCATCACTTAGTTGAAGAGGAGTGGTCAGATTAGGCAATCTTGTCTAAACCCACTGCTTGAATGTAACAATGAATGCTATGTCCGAACACAAGTTCCCAAACCATTTTATTACTAAAATAGTGTTGCTCCTGACTTCCATCAATACTTCGAAGACAACGGTGATCAAATCCAAAAGGCTTTCTTTCATATTCGATTCGGAGAATCCAGGTTTCGAAATCTGTACAAGCAAACGTTACAAATGCATTAATAAAGCATATCAACCTTATTCTTTAGACTACACATTAAAGCAATGAAATGTAAATTTCCAAGCATGATGTCTGTTTCAGTACAATTATCGATGTCACATACAATAAAACAACAATTTTGTTCATACAGTACTTGTTACCATCCGTCTACTGAGGATCCGGTTAGTAAACAAAATGTTCCAGTTGGCATTACTATGAGAAACTCCAACTATAATGTGCTTGAATGCTAGCAAAATGTACATTTTAATACAAACACTTGATTTCGGTTTATACTCAAACGATATCTCTGGAGATACAGTCATTCCGTCACTTGATACTGCAGTCTGTTATAGAAATGGTCCACAAAGGCGCTTTCGATGTGCACTCTGAAAAAGTTACCCATTTTGAACGAGTTCAGACATACCATTATGATGCATAAAATTCGCAGGCCACTTGTGGATGACCTTTAAGGCATGTATTCACGGTCGAGTAAACGGTCTCCCAAAGTATGAGTAGATTCAGAAAGATGAGTAATTTCACAAACACTCACAAGAATGTAAATGGAACTACAGGTTGTGTCGACTGGAATAATGACTGATAGATATACGTAGGAGGATCTTTATGTAGTCATTGAAGCACTCAGTTTAGATAGGGTTTATAGAGTATGAAGATATAAATTTGTACTCAGTATGAAATCTCTCATCTGAAATAGCTTACAAAATTCGGACCGCAAACAAAGGTGGAGAAATAAAGAACGGAAGTCACACTACGCAAGTAAAGATTTTTAATTTTCGGATACGCTGTGGAATTAAATAATAATATGAAACCGGAAAATGCTTAATAACATCATAAACATTTACGAAGAATTTCGAGGCTTTCGTTCTCAAATCCATAAAAGCCAGATTCTAAACAGTATTTATTCCTGAGAGGCCAGGTTTAGTAATCTAAAGGTGCGAAAATACCTGAAACCATATAGAAATAACAAGAATCGAATTACTCAAGTAGTTTATACCAGCTCATTAAAAAACATATTGGGTATTGGAGAATTGTTTTGATTCGAGTTGTACAAATCACAGTAGTTGGCGGCCTCATTGGATTGACTGCAGCATGGGTGAGTTAGATATTTTGACTAGTGTATTGACACTTGCACTGGACTGTATAAATTCTTTATTTACTACATAATCATTTACTGACGAAAGTTGTTTTACTGTCTGTTTTTATCCCGAACCTTGCTTTGCATCCATCGCTTTGACATCAGACCATGTGACGAAGTAAGTACTGGAAGATATGTTGTGTTCCGAGTCAGGTTATATTCTTTACATGCAAAATTAGTGTCTGAAGCCTCCACTTGTTTATGAGTGCATCTAAAGGCCGTGCTTCATCTCGCCATAATCTTGATCCGCTATATTGCCGTTAAGTTTCGCCGGATGTTCTGTCAAGATGTATGTTAATATCTGGAAGTTTTTAGACATCACGGTTTCTCTCCCTATCGTCGTACAAAGTTTTTTGTAATGTACTCACAGGTTTTTCGCGTGAACCCTAATTTCTAAAGTCGCGAATGCTACAATCTTGCAAGGCACAATTATGTTTTGAAATGCCAAGTCGTATTGAAGGTCTCTGTCTTACGGTGGAGCTTGAACGGCGTAAGACAATGTAATTCACCGATAGGTATTTGTATTCCATCTTGGGGGGTGCATATGGTAATATGCGTTAATTCGGTAGCTCATCCAAGGGTTCAGTTATCTTCTGGAGACTCAGGTACCAGTTCACAGCTTGGGAAAAGTTAAGTTCCTGCTACTAGACTTCGAACTTGCTGCTCCTTGATACCGTCCTATCAGATAGATGTATTAGGGCCTTGCAAACCTTTATATCATATCAGAATATGAAACAGCCTTAGGCATGTCCGGCTCTATTCTTGTCTACAATAGAGCCTCAGCACACCTCTGGGTAATTTTTCCTGAAATCTCTGTAATGCCTAATCAACTGAACCAAGTGATACGACACTGCAGTTTAACGTGACATGTAGTGTTACTTATTGTCAAGTCCACTGTAATATTGAGATCAAACCTAGAATCCTACAAAATTCATGCGTCAATAGATGTTTGAGACAGTGTCGTATCACTTTAAGAGTAAGCATGTCATTTGTTGTATAGCTGTGATCTATGATTTTTCGAAATCTTATAGAGTTTACAAATCCCTTTTAGGTATTGCTCGAGATCGTATTCATAAAAGGGCTAAGACTGGCGCCCGCAGAGAGCGAAATCGCAAAAAGAGGAAGTTCGAATTAGGACGCCCAGCAGCAATGACAAAGCTCGGACCCAAACGTGTTCACACAGTTCGTGTCCGAGGAGGAAATCTCAAGTTTCGTGCAATGCGCTTAGAACAAGGAAATTTCAGCTGGCCTTCTCAGGCTATTAGTCGTAAGACGAAGATCATTGATGTTGTCTATAACGCTTCCAATAATGAACTTGTTCGAACAAAGACACTTGTCAAAGGAGCCATAGTGCAGATCGACGGAGCACCATTCAGGCAATGGTTTGAAGCTCATTACTTAAAAGAACTTGGGCGGCGCAAGGTGGTTAGCAAAAAAGGACACGCAATCGCACAGGAAAATCCAGAGGAAGATATTTTGTTGAAGAAAAGAAGCAAATCAGCTTTGAAGAAATATGAAACCCGTCAGGCATTGCCTCAGGCGAATGTTGAAGAACCTTTGAAAGAAGCATTTGTTACAAGTCGTATTTTAGGTAAGTTGATAAGGTTATACTATTAATACGTTTAGCACGAATTACCTCCAGGCCTGGTCAGATTGGCCGATCGGACGGTTATATTCTCGAAGGAAAGGAATTGGAGTTTTATTCAAAGAAACTGAAAGTTAAGAAAGCAAAATAAACATCCTTCAAAATAAATCTTCGTAGGACATTTGCCTTGATAAAAAAAGTTTTGGGTTTAGACCTGGGAGATTTTGGTTTCGTTGCAAATGATTACTGTATGAGTTGATATGTTCTAGATAAGTATACGTGAACCAACATGCTGTGTATTTATAAGGTCAATATCTTCACTATAGTGAATCACCGATATCATTTAATCCCCACTACAAAAACTTCTAATATGTTACCATTTTTTTGCTAACAGCATAACAAATCGCAGAATTTGAGTCACTTCCTGAATTTGTTGCGTGTGTTCTGTAACGATTGGTGTCGATAATGATGTCCTGGCGTCATACATTGTAGTAGATCATCCTCTTCAGCCTTTGGACCAAAATTTCCGTAGAAGGCTGTAAGCCAGCAAGCTCATCGTGTTACTAGCTTACATATTTGCATATCAGCTTCACTTGAGTAGTGCCAGATGTTTGTAGTTCCTAGGATTGTTGATACTTCATATACATTAAAATATGAAATACCTAGGGCTGCATTTCTGAGTTTGAAAAAAAGAAGCAATTTCGGAAAATACTGCGCAGTGAATTGGAATCTGTAGAGATAACTTGATGGTTGAAACGACGGTTTTAGGATTAATAAAAGCAATGTTATTAATCGTAGCAGATATGGTCAATCAAATACCACGTGTTTTATAGTGACCTCAGTGTGAGGTAATAGGGGTGTCTGCCCTAGTTAGTGTGTAGTCGGTGCATATTGTGGATAGGCTATTGCTACTTCATCCCCAGTTACTTAGACGTGAAAGACTTAACCACTTGACTTCGATTGTCTGGTTTTGCGCTGTATTCATATATTTAGACAAATATTCTTGCAAGTGAGCATCACTATATACTTGCGTTACAATAAAAGATTGTTAAGAGATAAGGAAGGGACGGTAAGATAAATAAATAGATAAAAAAAGTTTTTGAGTACAATAAGATTCAGTTCAGTCAAAGTAAACAATTAGAAATAATCAGACTAGGGTAGTTTTACTTGTGTGAAGAAATGAATGAAGAACCACTACTATTTCCAACTGTATCTGACGACATCTCAAGCCACTGACTCGCACCAACTTCAGAGTGAGTCGTTAACGACTAGCATACCAGTCCTGTATAAAACTCTCGTTCACAGTGACCACCGCTATTCCAACTCGTCCCAGCGTTAGATAATGATGCACGGTGTGGAATTCACTGCGATAACAAACCGCCTGTAGACCCTGCGGGGCTACTGCCGTTCCCAAGCGTGAATAAAGGAGGAGGGCGACCCCATCTCGCAAAAAACTCAGAAAAAGTGATACACACGATTTAAACTCTACAAGACTTGTGACGTCTCATAATGAAAGCTGAGCTTCGGAAGTCACGAGGCCGATGCCTCTACTGGCAACGAGAGCCCTTCTACGGAGTTAGAAACCCGGAAGTGACATCCACCCTCATATCCATTAAAGCGCATGAGACCGAATCGGTCAGAATAAAACCCTTTCTACATCTAAAAACTTATTTTAGCGATCAACCCTTCTTTCGACCGTTTGTCATCTAGTGGCTCTTTAGCGAACGGTTCGAACTCACGAAACGCTTGTCCTGATCTGAAACCCCTCTCCTTTCTACATGTTGATGCTTCTAATGTTCGAACCGTGTACCAAATAGGTCAACAGGCTTCATTAGCTAGCACACACTAACTTTAAGCATGAGGTAAAACATCTTTTGACCTGGTGACCTCCAAAGTCGTTACAAAGATGTACCCAACTAGATCACGTCAGCCACTGATGGATAGGTTCGATAGAGGACTTCCACTCGTTGAGGGCCATATGTTTAGATTCAGATCAAGGCTACGCGACGATCGCGAGCAGAGGTGGGTAGCGAGAGCAAGAGCGAATGAAAAGGCAGCGGCGATAGGCAACAATAGACGATTATCCAAACTTACCATGGAAAGTGGTATTGAAAAAGATGGTCTTACGGTTCATTCTCAACCCAGGATATTGGATCAAACAGCAGAACACTTGAGGATCAGTTCAATTGGCCTTCAGCCACACCGGTTACCCAGGACCTCCGGCGAACCTTTATAGCAAATTGATTTAAGTTCTTCAACTATTAATGAAATTGTAAAAGCTATAGGAAATCTAGGGTGATGAAGCGCAGCGGGTCCCGACGGATTGACACCTGAAATTTTAAGGATGGTTGTCCATTTTTGGCTGTTCGATTAACTGAGATCTTAGGGTAGACTCTGGCAACTGGACGTAATCTCATCTGACTGGCCTCAATCACTGATTATCCTGGTTCATAGTACGGACACAGAAGAATCAGTCTCACTAATATTATGTCTAAAATATTAGCTTCAATAATAATCCAACGCCTAATTAGAGCTCGTGAAGTGCAGACTCGAGAAAACCTTGGAATTTAGACCTGGACGTGAATCTATGTACCGAATATTCACATTTCGAAAGGTTCTAGAACACAAACACTCATTTGACAATCCGACAATGGTTGTCTTCCTTGACCTTAAAGTGGCATTTGATTTTATCAATCGTGAGGTTCTATGGCAGTGTCTGTCATTGAAACGTGTACCAACGAAGTACATTAACCTTATACAAGCTCTCTACTCGAACACTACTGGTGGGGTTGGAGATTTTGGCGAACTGACATCCGATTTGGTTACTTCAAGTAGTGTCCGTCAGGGATGTCTACTTTCTCCATTCTTGTTTAACTTTGCCAAAGACCTGCTTCTAGATGTACCATCGTCCGAATTTTCGGGAGTGGGCCTTCTACCAGGAGATTCACTGATTGACTTAGAATATGCCGATGACATAGTTCTACTTGATATAGACGCTGATAAAATGCAGTCTTCTAACTATCATAAGCAACAATGCAAGCATGTTCAGGGTGTCTCGACGAGCTATGTTTTGAGATGTAGGTGTAGGTTGGCAGAAAGCTAAGGGCAGCCAGACCATATCATGGCACAAATCCATGAAGTCGCTGGGCTGAGCCGTGTTGGTATGTGTCGAATACCTGCTTGAGGCCCCGCGAGATGATGGTAATCGATGGTTAGATACCCAGGAAGACATGGCTCAAGACCGCTTGCAATGGCGCAGGTGCATTCATTCTTTGTGTTCTCTGAAATCCTAAAATTCCTAATTTCTCATCACCTTAATCTTTTTTTAGAGTTTATTTCACTAGATTCTGTTTTTTGAATAAGATCTTCGGACTCTAATCTCCCCGATTACGGCTAATACTTCTACTACCTCTGCTACTATGGGTTTTGAAGTGACAATTGCATGTGTGTGCTAATGTGGTATGACAACTGGGACTGATGTATGTACATACATACGAAGTTGTTGTTGAGTGACACTGGGATCACAATCTTGGTACATGCCCGAACCACCAAAGTCTTTTGAAGATGGTGATGCCAACCAAATTATCGTTATGCTTCAACATGTTACCGAACCCCTGCTTTACTAACACGGTGTTGCCCTTGAATATCAGCAGTCCTTTTGGTACAGCTGTGACCGAAGGCTTTCTAGTATCTTCAATTTAAAACGACTAGGTTCCACAGGCATAAAACACAACCGCGCTCACCGACTTATTGTAAACTAGGTATTTAGCCTGATTGACATCCTGCATAGGCCAAAGACCGCTCTGTCTTTCACTATAAAGTGGTTGGTCTCGTCACGCTCACCACCACTAGCTCTTACACAGTAACACAAACAAATGAAATTTTGAATGTTATCTCAGTTCAGATTGCACTTTAAAGATGTATTAGCAAAGGTCGTACCTTTGGACACTAATTAGCAACTGACTAGGTGCGGGTTGATTTTCTCGGGAGTCGTCACGCATCCAGATATCATCTACATACTCAAGGTCGAGAAGTCTTACTCTTCGTAACATGTCTACATCATCGTTACATACATGCATCAAAGCAGCCATCGATCACAAAATTTAAAAGGAATGGTTAGATTAGGCAACCCTGTCGGAACATTGCATTGTGGTCACCCGGAATCCAGGCTTGAGATAGAGATGGAAGACATCAAGCAGAACATTAGCAATGACTATCTCGAAAGCTAGAGCTAGCCAGATGCAGGATGTGATCTGCTCAAAGTTGCGGCAGATGGTCTTCGTGACCTGCGACCAACAAGTACCCACTGACCGCACAAACGACATCCTCTGTGTCTAGGCATCCGGCTATTACTACAATATCTGTCGGACGCATTCTCTGTAGAGCTCATCGTTGATGGTATCCGGGCTCCAATCTTCCGGGTCGTTGGTGGAGATAACGGAAAGGCATAATTTCTCAGACTGGTTTTCGCATATAGTCGACTGTTGATGGGGATCCAGTCGATGTAGTGAAATCCGCTTGTTCCTTAAACTATCCGAATAGTTACAATTCCAGTGAAGTTGATGCCTCTTTGGAGTTCATAAAAACATTCCTCACTATACATTTGATTGCACTGGTATTCTGATCGGAAGTACATATTAATATAGATGGTGCTGCGACTCACAGGTACTGATTCTAAAATTGCCTGTTTTTGATTAGAAAAGATAGTAAGGTTAATTCTTCCTTAACACATACACTCACACCTAGTTTGTCACTGTATCTGTCGTTAGGTGATTATATTTGATTATTATCGCGTGGTAACGATTAATTTCATTTAAAGTATATAGATGCTTTGTAATAAATATAGTCTACTAATATCATGAACCAATATATCAGTACTTACTTTAATTGGTTCGCACGTTTTTTGATTTCCTGTACTTGGGAATATTAGTGAATATTGCATCACAGTACTTGTCAGTCGAGAAATCTGTTGGTTTCAGATGAGGCATAGGAATCTACAAATGCATCGTGTCGCATCTTAGAGTTGACCGTTTTTAGAACGGACTAAAAATCGATTAAAGATTTTGATGATTATCCAACGTGATGAGTATTGGCCTAGTCTAGTTTTGTCCAAGTCAGTTGTTTAAGTTACTTGTGCAATAAAATATGAAGAACGTGCCGTATGGAAATTATCAATGTAATCAATATTGACGAGAAATTTTTATAGGGTCTTTAAACTGTTTCTTGCTGCTCTTCCTATCTCATTTTTTTTGTTAGTCCGCAATTTTGATCAGCGCTATACATTCTTTCGTATTTTAGGTTATTTTAATATGATTCTATTAATCCCATGAAGTTGTACATGAAAAGCAATTTTCATGCATTATTCTAGTGATTTGAATTTGTAGCTACTAGTTGTTGTTCGTCTAAAAGTTTCAATAAACCTGTCTCCCACACTTTTATATCAAAGAAACATATTCAAACTAATAAAATTCTAATTTAGAAGGCGTGTATTCATGATAGACTTCAGTTTAGTAGATACCAGGGATATATTTGCTTCTTAAACTTTCTATGAGTATTATCTTATTACAGGCTAGGATATCTTTTATAAATCTGTATTTTCAAACCGAATATTTTCAGTCCTTTATTGAAATTCATTACACGATAAATCTGTTATGTAGATGTCATGTATATAAATATGATTTATAAAGGGTCATAAATGAGATCGAATTTCCGGGTTTTTTTAATCTTTTGTCTACTGAATGACTTCATTTTATTGATAGTTAATGACATTCAGCTCTTAGACGAATAAGATCAGTCCTTATTGAATCCAAATTTTCTTCAAGCCTAAAAGTTAAAAAACTAAATTATTTTAATTTAAAGCTGTAAAATCAAATTACTTATAAGACTAGCAATCGTAATCTACTCAAATATTGTACATGTTTAAATTCGAACTCGACTTATTCTTTTAAATGATTCTCAGAAAACTTCATTTAATTTTACTTGTGTCTTAAGCGTTTATCTAAAGCAGTGTACTTATTAGGAGGCGATTATTATGATATTAACTAGCCAAATTGATTTTAAGTATCACTCTTTCAATATAAAAGTTTTTAATAGAATTGAATTAACCTAAAGTGGCGATATTTTTTAGTCTTACTCATCTTTGGGATTAATAACGTAGACAAATTCGTTCAACATGGATTCTGTTTATCGAATCCATTTTCCTAGTTGCATAGTTACATGATCAACGTAGAAACAATTTTTCAACTAGTCGAAATGCTACTATGCAGATTTATCATCACTCATATGATTTGAAGATAGTGGTGAAAATTTTCATTCATTTATACGTTAATGCAAATGAGTATGAATTGAAAGTGTAATAAACCCAATAAAGCTATCAGTGTATAGCAAAACTCCAAAGGTTTCGAATGACTTTCTCATCACTCCACTTTATTCGTACAATTAAACTTTTACCTGGTTTGCCTTTTATACTGTCATAACTTATCACATGTCGGTAAAATATATTTAGGATTACTTTACGTGTAAGCATATTATATTAACTAACATTTGAATGTATTTGACACATATTTCAAGTACCTTTTACAGTAATTATTGAAATGATGAATTACTTTTACCGCCTAATAATTGATTACATCTAAAATATATTTCTTCCTAAAGTATAACAGAATTATTATGTTAACTGAATATTTACTGAATGAAAGACTAGAAACTCAAACAATGTTTTCTTTGCATTTCTTTGTTACTTACCTTAAGTGACTAAGTTTTAGTTGATTCGCTGTTGTTTGTGCTAGCTGACCGACACATGATAATTTATCTTCTAGTGCATCAGTTTCCATTTGACTTAATATTAACTTTAAATTTCTTGTAGAACTCTCAAAATCCTTTTTAATATCTTCAAATTTAGTCAAGTCATTTTTGTTTGATAGCTAAGAAAATGTAGGTAAGATTATTTTTGCACATTTATATGGTTCTATTAGCAAGTATTCAGTAAAAATGAAGATGTAATCATTACTGTAGTTGTATCTGAATTTACTTTGGTATCCTTTGGAAACTTTAGTATCTTAAGAGTAAAGTTTATGATTCATTTCGACTAAAAATTTTGGCTTCCACTCAATGTAAATATCTTGTATTTCGTTACAGAAGCCAAAATACTTCGTTACATACTACTATAACAAGTATGTGATTCTTAAGTCGTATACTCGAATATTCATTTAAAAACTACTTTATCTAACTATTTTTGGCGAGATTAGGGTAAAAAAATTTACAAGTCATGCACATGCATGTTTTATTGGAGCAAATATTTATCATCAAGATAAGGTGGGAATACTTTCTAGTTCATCCTATACATAGTACCATCTTTAGATCCCTTTCAAATATCTGAAGTATTTCTTGCTGAGATTGTAGGATATTAGCATGGATAAAATGTTTACCAAAAGCTTCACACTTATTTGATTGTATTATATTTTTAAGTTTTTTCAACTCGAAATCACTTCTCATATATTTGTTCACTTATTTTTTTATTACTAAGTGTTCAATAATAGTGAGTTAAGTCAACTATTTGATATTAACATATATATATATATTTCTTAATATACCCTTATCTTACTCGTTACATAAATGCATTTTCTGAAATATCAAGTACATCGATATAATTCATGCAATCTATATTAATTTCATTAGTTATCAATAGAACTATTTGTTATATGAATATTGTTTGAAGGCTGATAAGAATTCTTAGTGTGATTATTCTTCAATGCCAAAATTTTTCACCTAGTAATGATTTATTGTTAAATGATCCACTTTCCATATGCTAGAAAACGAAATGATTCTTGGATTTTTGTCTATGCCTTTATTTAGTTGGTTATCTATACTTTATTCTGCTGTTTCCTACTTTTGAAAAAAAACAATAACTTGTTGATTATTTTTTACTAGTTGGCATAAAAAACGATTGGACATGTATTTTTTCTAAGTACGCAATACTGTTCCGGAACTAACACTTTCAACTCACTTCACTATTTTGCTTAAATATACGTCCTGTTAATTGATCACAACACCTTCCTAACCAATTCACTTTGCATTTCATTCCAAGAATCATTGAAATCAAAGATACTTTTTCACTAAATTCTTCATTGTGTAGATCAGGATCACTAAGGTTTTCTGTTAAAAATAGAAAGTAAGAAACATTTAATTCACTGATTTAAAATTGCTATAGTTGGATTTTCCTATTATAAATGAGCAATTACCTATTACCTCATAATAACAATTTTATCTAGATAATAATTTTAGCATCATCAATGATATATTGGTTGTCAAGTATATAAAGGTTAAGTTGAATAATTTAAACTAATAGAAATTCCTAGTCGAATACATTGAGACTAAATTTTCCATACTAAAACATAAACATTGGATAAATAAACGTATAGTTTATGTAGTCACTTGTTATTCAAGTATACGGCATTCCAAAAAAGTGTAAATTTCATCTATCCCAGCAATTCTTTTGTATAAACACAACTCTTGAGACAAGGTTAGAGTTTAATTTTCTCGAATGGTAATTTTCAAACTAAAAGTGTAAGTCCATCAAAAGTATGAAGGTGCTTAAGTTCCTACTAGGGAAATCTATGAACTGCATTAAGAAGAAATATCTGTGTGAATGATTCGTGTTTTACAAGCATTATCAATAATGTTTTCTTTAACTGAAACTATTCGTTGTCTATTAAAATTGTCACCATATAAAATGTTTATATACATACTAATAATAATTTGTACCATTATCTAAAACGGTACATTTGGTTAAAAATCGCTCATCTGAATTCTTTTCTTTTAGAAATATGAATTGTCAAATGAACTTTTTGACTGAATTTGAAATATGATAGAACTGCATTATTTACTGAAAAAAAGTAAATACAAAATCTTGGAGCTGAGCTAGGATTTATCAGTAATCGATTCACACAATAATATCCAATTACAATCTACTGTGGTGATGGTGTTTGGTTCTCTGAACTGGGTGTTTTGGTTGTGGAGCTTTCATTCTTCTTCTTTTGAACAACATCATCAGCACATACTTCAGATAGAAGTGAAGCATTCGAATTTCTCAACGTTTGACCTGTAGCTTGTTCTGCTAACTTCGATCTTGATTGGCTGTTGTTGACCTTAAACCTGTCGTTGCTTGCACCTTTGTTTTGATTGCATCCCCCTTTTGATCTGTTTCTTGATCCTATGTCACCTATGATTTTCCTGATTGGTTGATAAACTGGGTCAATGTCGATGTGTTTGTTGATTGTTGATTGACCTGATTGCCAAGCTTCTAAAAATTCCCTAGTATTCTTTGTCCTCCCCCTACCCAGTATTTCTACCTTGTTCCAACCGAACGTATGCACATAATTGTCGGTGTGTATTGATATAAGCGAAGCGTTGTCGTGGCGTTTGACTGCTAATTGGTGTTCACGTAAACGAAGCTGGAGAGGCCGTCCACTTTGTTCTATGTAGTGTTTTTCACAGTCTAAGCAATTTATTTTGTAGATGGTGTTTCGTTTTTCTTCATTTGTCATTTTGTCCTTTGGTCTACATAGGATTGATTGAAGTGATTCTGTTGGTTTGTAAACTGTAAAACATGGATCAATTTTTCCATAGTTTAAAAATAATAGTGCTCGGAACTTTTTGAATCTTTCAACGTAGCTGTGTTTAGTTGAGAGGAGTTGAGGTCAGCATTTTTTAGCTCCATAACACTATTTGCTTCTAGCGTAGATAATCCAGCATTATTGGAACGGATCATTTCATAAATGATATATTGCGTGGCTGCATATATTTTAAAGTGTATCCAAATAAACACTTTTTATTGTGTATTTTTTTCAACTGGAAGTTACCTTGCTTACTAATCATTTAATCTCATATATACCATATGACGTAAGGAATAAACTAACCTTTTCCTTGACATTTAAGCAACTTCTCTAGCTTTTCTGTTAAGTTGTCTAAATCATTTGAAATCCATGAGATAGCACATGATATCACTGTATCATCTTGCGTATCATTATCTGACTGTAAAACATTAGTCTGTACAATCTGGTCTATAGTTGCATAAGGCTGAAAATAAAACAAATTGTAATTGTTTGTAAAGATAAGTTTTATTTTGTTTATTTATTATCTAAGAATAGATCTCGATGAAGCAGTTCTTCTAAAAAAAAAACTTGACATTAATAAAATTTATATTAAAACTAGTAGCTTATTAAAAAAATGAACATGATACTGAGAATAAACCAGTAATAATTAAACAAATTGCATGTTTCAAGATAATAATTTAATAAACTGTACATAATCAGATACTTAATCTTAATCAATTGATTATTCTATATCATTGAGGTGACAATTCAAAATATTTTTCAAGGTAAATAACAGTATGTATATTTAGCATGCCATATACATCAAATCTGATATTTCCACTTAATTGTCAAGTTGCAGAATTGACTGAAACTTATTTATTAATCATGGTATGGTTATTAGTTCGTGGATTAAAATTTGTTTTCATAGGATAATGTTTGTATTATCTCCCTTGCCTTACTAGTGAAATAAATTTCTGAACAGTATAAAAAGTAATTTCTTAGTTTAAATAACTACCATACAGAGTAGCGTAGTAGTTCAGTCACTTAGCTTTTAATAATTGACATCACAGACTCAAAATTTGTTTTGCCCGTTTCGATCAACGTAGCTGTATGACTTAAGAGTAAAATACGCAAACTTGTGTTTGGTAATTTAAATCAACTGTTGTTTAGGAAGATTTAGTTAAACTAAGGGTATTTCGTCTCAAACTGTCTGAATAGCCAATTGACAGTGAAATCAATACTCCTTAATAAATAACCAGAAAGATAAGTAATAAGGCAGTTATTATGGAAACATCGTATACCAATGAGAAAAGTTTTATTTAAATGTATCGCTAGCGTACATGTCAAAAATAACTGGGAAAAAAAAAACTATAGTTGAGTTTTGACTTTGGAATTGTTGAATGTTTGATAAACAAATTGTAAAGAAATGTCAGGAACTTTTAAAAAATCCTTCTGCAGTTTATTTTTCATAAACACTCTGAATACAGATCAAACATATTATTTATTATTGGAAAGTATTTGCATGTGAAAAATTTTAAAAATATATATTAAAAAAGAAAAATATACTATTAAATAAAGGCTGATATTTGATATTCGAAATCGTTCATTACCCTAGCATTTGTAATAACACATCCATTAAACTAACTGTCAACTATATATATATATGCACGTTACAATAGTTATGTTTATTTGTTGTATTACCTTGGGATTTCAACAATCGTAATCATATCTATTTATTGACAAATTCTTATAACAATACTTACTTGTTTTATCTTATTATTAACTAAAATTGTTTGAATTTCTTGATCTTTACATTCCTTTTCTTGTCTGTTGATATTTTGCAAAGAATTTTGTGACTGAACATAGGCCCATCCAGTTTCCCAAAATAAATTATTTAAACGATTCATTTGTTCATATTTTTTCTTTAAATGTTTTGATAATAAATCTCTGTTACAGCGTAGTTGAACAAGTTTTCTATTTAAACGTGTACGAATGGTTTGACACTGTTCCCAAGCACGTTTAGCTTTATTCTAAATAAGAAGATAGTATATAAATTTATATTTATTCTGTGTTGATATAATTGCTTTATAATGTAGATAAGTAAAAAGCTTGATTACACACAAAGTTTCTATAAATTTAGGAAGTAAGCTTATGTACACCACAGCATAAATAGAAGTCCTATTGAACCATGTATGTACTCTAACTCAACACTTCATATATATATATATATATATATATATATATATATATATATATGACCATTATTACTTTATATCTTTGTTTCATAAATCGTTCTTTTTCAATAAAATGATTTTTTTCCAATTCGATTTGTTTTAATTTATCAGCGTAAAAATGGCATTCAAACCGCAACATTGAAACATCTTGATCTTTTACAGTTAACAAGTTTTCAAATGATTTAATTTGTTCACGAAGTTCTAATTGTTCATCTGTTGATTTCCGATTAATTTTTATAAGCTGTAGAAAAAGAAAGAAGAAATATACTTTTACAATTAAGAATTAAAAAATAACGACTAAACGAAATAATACATCAACCAGTAAAAATAATAAAATTACAAATGTTCTATTTAATAAGATATCTTAGAGATTTCGTTCGCTGACAGTGACATACGTGCTTGAAGAAAAATCAAACTGATTTAGCTCTATGAAGTGAATGTTTTTTATTACGTGTACTCTATATCTTCCACATACGCAGTGATTTGTATGTATCAATAAAATGATTTGCAAATGTAATGTAAATTATGAACACATTTTACAGTACAATGATTTATTTTCATCGAAAATCTTTATAAAAGTTAAGATACGGATGAGTCCCAACAATTTCTATTTTTAAATTATAATCGATAAATTTATGATTGATAGGTGTTGTTTGACCGATTTTCCATATTCTAGTAGTAAATTAGGAATTCAAGTTTCAGATACATCTTTGTAAATAAATCTTTTCTTCATCAATAATAACTTGATTTGAGTAAAAGTATATATGTAGCTGTAATGAGAGTAATAGATTTCAACGCTTGTTTGTGAAGAGTAATATGATACTGTCGTATTTAGTATATCTAGCTTTGTTTCATTCCACCTACACACTGAGTAATCATTCTTGAATCTGTTAAACAGTCAGAGTTCTTTATTTACAGTTTGATTGCATTTCAGTTGTAACAACAATAAAATATTAAGGAAGATTATCCTGTCTCAAAAATCAATATCAACTTGACAATCAATTAAGTCAATGCAAATTGGACAATTTTTTCATCTTTACTTGAAATTATTAAATGGTGAACAAACAAGACTACACAAGGAATTTGGATAAGTATTCTTGGTCTCCCTATAGATCAATAAACCAGAAACAAATAATTATATTTTCAGGTCTACTAGACGACTGAACTAGTGCAATAAACGATGAATACTATTTATGAGTTACTGTTAAACTCCGGACGTAGTTGAATTTGTTAATCAAGATTTCTTTCGAAAATTCACTTACATACCGCTTGTTATGGATCATGCGCTTATATTCTCGTTAAGATGTTTCATAGAGATAACTGGATAGTCTGTAAATAATAAAATCTCAAATATAATTTACTGTACTGTTAAACACCACGAAGTACTAGGTATTTGTTTCATTTTATTTTTAAGATGAACCACCTATAAATGGTGATATCATAAACATTAACCAATTAATAACTGGATTACTGGAAAACGTAGTGATTTTGAAGCATATATTGATTTTTTTGTTGAACCATACCGAAAATTCATGGGCAATATTTACGTGAATTAGACTTAATTTTCTTATGAAATTATGTATTTGTATATAACTAGCCTGGGCATGTTATTCAGAACTGTCCTAGAAACTGTGGATGAATTTACACCTCTATTTCAAAATTCTATTGCCTTCATAAATTCACATTATCTAGAAAAGTATGGGATATTATGTATTATCGGTAAATCGATTGATACACTGACCTCATTGTTATCAGAATCCATTGTAGAAATTTTTAATTCTTGATTAAATATTTGTATTTCTTGTGCCTTAATTTGTTCATTTGCTTTAGCTAGCTGTCTTCTCAATTCTTTTTGACCATCTTCCACTAAGATACTTACTTTCTCTTTGTAACTTTGTTCAATCTACATTGTGAAGTTAATAAAATAACATTAATGGTACGGAGGATTAAATATATTGATTATGCAATAAATATATTTTACCCTTTTTGATAATGCTGTTTTAATGTCAAATTAATATGAATAAAAGGTTTTAATTAGCTTTCTACGAATTATTATCAATATATAATTCTGGAAAGTGTTTGTACATACTTTTCACATTTGCTAGATGTTTTCATTCTGGTCATTCACTTAATAGTTGATTGTACTTAAAAATACTTCTCTCTTCATGGTTATTTTTAGTCTCTTTATCTATTTGTGTCCGCAATTTCAGTGGCAACCTATGCTGTGCAATGAGTAATAGGTTTAAAAAATGAAGTAAACTCATGAGTTACAGTATTTATCCAAACATATACTTTTCATCTTTTCTATTCTTACCATATTTTCAAAGTTTAGTCTCTTGTATACTTATTATTATCATCACTACTACTACTACTACTACTACTACTACTACTACGATTACTACATTATTTTGATTCTTTTTGTTATTCACCTTATTAATCTTTAATATCATAATAATATGATATTGATAACTAAGATCAAAGCAAATTTTTCATGGCTGACTAGCTGGTTGGAAACCACCTCAATGATCCTTCGAATAATTTTGTTAGTTTATTTTTTAAGAGACTTGTTCGTAAATTAACTAACATGTTTCTAATATCCAACTAGGTAGGTAAGTAGGAACAATACTCCGCATATTGAACTGTACTCGTAACATGCCAGTGACTAATTTATTCTGGATTATACATATTTGAAATAAGATAATCATACTTTTCTGAGTTGTTCTTCATTCTGACGACGATTTTGTTCAATTTTTTGTAAGAGTTCATCAGCTCTTGAGCGTTCCATATCTAATTGTTTCATTAATCCTTGTACATCGTCATAATAACGTTGTTTACTTTGTTCATAACTATAATGATTAAAATATTAAATCAGTAATTCTGAATAATAATTAAATAATTGTTTAATATACATTGTTATTAAGGTAGAACATGAATAGTTTTCAAATATTCATATCATTTTTCTTGCCTTAAGTTGCATTAATGTGATTATATTTGCCTTGAAGAGTAGATAGTTTCATTTGTGAATGTTAAAAATATTTTGTAATTTGAAGTGAAAAACTTAATCAACTCAATTGACAAACATTTCACTTTTTGTGCTGTTAAATGTATGATAGCAAAAATGATATGCGAAAATCAAAGAAAGGTTTTATTCCATAGAATATTCAGTTGTTTGTCCAAATTGGAGTAAGAATCCTTGCCACCAAACATGCTTTAAGAGATGACACTTTCATCGTCTGACCTTTCAGGCACTGACTTTTTACCAGGAGATTCACTTATTTACTTCAAACATGCAGATGATATGATTCCATTGGTTGAAGACGCAGTCTTCTTTGCATTTTATTGACCCTAACAATGGTATAATTTTTAGGGCGGCCTATGCTCCATTGGGGGTAACAGGCGTAAGTAAGTAAGTAATATGAAATCTCCTACATAATCAACATTTATAAGCATAAAACTTAAGGCAACAATTAACTTGTCATCTAATTCTTTCATTCGTTTTTCATATAGTAATCGATTGTTTTCACAGTTTTTTGCATTTAATTCTGCTTGTTCTTTACATTGTTTCATAATTGTAAATTCATGCGACAGAGTTCGATAATTCTCTTCATTTTGATTAGTTTGCGATTTGTAACGGTTAAATTGTGTTTCGATTTCATTTAATCTTTGATTAGATTGTTCTAATTCAATCAATAAGTTTCGTATCTGTTCTTGTTTTGAATTCAATTTGCTTTTTAATTCAGTTATCTAAATAATGAGAAAAGAGAACAGTGATATTTCAGGTTAAATAGACTACCCGTATGAATAGCGTCAACTTATGAAGATTACCATTCTAGTTATATTGATCATTGTTCGAATTAATCAATTCACATAGAAGGATATCTAAGTGAATCACTACCTGTTTCGTAATTCTGTAGTGTAGAGAGTATTTTATGTGTTGAATCCGTAGTAGAAAACAGCATATTTGCGTTTTTAAACTGACAACAATTTGAGTTTCCTAAGTAAAATTAATCAAAACTTAACAGAAATGATCAAGAAAAATACTAAAAGGTTTTTTAGGTGCGATCAGTATACTTGTGGCCAGAAGCAAACATTTAGCAATGCTTATTTGAATAATAACTATAATAAAAGAAAATAAAAATCATTTTTATCCTTTTTCCTGTGGTCCTGCAGATTTCATGTTAGAGCCTCCCTCGTGACGCAATTGTCTTGTCCACTAACGTTTTTGCCTCAGTTTATTCCTTAGCCGGAAACTGGTGCCATCATTACAACCCTAGGCTGTTGCTGATAGTGTCTGACCAACAGACATGGAGTATCTTGCATAAGAAAAATTTATATGAACCTGTACCTTTTAAAAGGATGGTTATGGCAGCCCTTTACGTTTCCGCTCCATAAATTGGATCTGTCCTGAATTTTTGTAATGAAAATTCTGACTTTAGTTTTGGTTGATAGTTGTTTGAACTTCCAAATGTTCTGCAACCATAGAAATGCTGCCCTTGCTTTGCCGATCCGTGTATTTATATCTAGATCAGATCAAACCTTTTTATCATTGATGCTATATGAGCAGGTTCAAGTTTCCAGAGCTTCTGTGTCAAGTATGATGTGGTTGATGCTGTGTGTATTGTTCATAGGGATCTTAGTACTTTTTTTCGAATGGTAAGGCCCCTTTCAATGGAATCTGCCCTAGATTCCAGCTATCTTTACTTGCATTTTTGGATATATATCAGAGGGAAGAGACAGATCATCTGCGAAATACAAATTATCTAGCCGCATCCAAGCTGTCCATTGTATCCCGTTCTTCTACTGAGATGTTGAGGCTTTCATAATCTACTTAACCATCAGGGGAAAACGAAAAGGCGAGAGTGAGCAGTTTTGGCTGACACCAGTCCATACTTGGCCCGAATGTGTGAACTGCACTCTATGCACGCTCTCATGATGTCCGTCTTAAGAATTCTGAATGAAATCGACTGTCTTTTGAGGAACTTCAAATTGTCGAAGGAGATTCCTTAATGTACTACTATTGTTTCGGATGAAAAAATAATTAACGAACAACTCAGAACATTACGGAATCTCAAAGTTTTTGATTATCAAATAAGCAGTCTGAAAAGCCCTTTTAACATCCCGAAAATCAACAAGTTGTTTGATTACGTTTAGACTTATTTAATTGTTTCGATAAACCTCAAATTTTCATTTGGTTGATACAATGGAGACCTAATAAGACAATACATTTGTTTCGATTAGCCGAATTCGGAACCATCAAGCCTATAAATTAATGAAATGAAGGATATATGGATAAAATTTAGAAAAATGCTTTGAAGTACAAGCAGAGACAATTATACAAGAATTTTTAAATGATGTGGATCAATAAAATTGATGAGTGGATTTACTCTATAACCGAAGATTTCAATCCCTGTCAACTAAAAGGCCAAAGAAATGCTGTAAACTAACTTGTCCTCTGTTTCTAACTATAAATCATACGTTAGATTGTAGTAAATTTGCTATTAGATTTCGTTGAGTAATTGTATATTTACTACTATCTGTTGAGTAAACAAGTCAAGGTAAATACTGCAATGTAAGAGTGATCAATTATGGGTTTAATGGCCTAGTATATAATCTTGAGATATTGTTTTTATTTTTGATGTCATCTACTTGTCTTTTAGATTTTGGATATATCTAGGTGGTAACCGTAAAAGATAAAGTACTTTTGATGCAGGGTTTTCTGACGACACCTTTTAAACACACTTGACAGTAAGCTTAAGATTACGAATCGTTTACCAACGTCAAAGATAACATTCTAATTTTATGATTTACCTGTTCCTCGTACTTGAAATTTTGGTGAACAGCTTTGTCCTTACTCCTTTTTAACTCTTTGATTTCACTTTCGAATTCGTTGCATTTTTCGATCCACTTAATTTTGTAAGTTTCGTGTTCAGTTAACTCATTGATTTGCTTATGTAACAGATCGCTATCATTGTTTCGATCCTGTTGACAATGAAGACTATTATTTTGCTTTTTAGGAGTATGATGTGATCTGTTATCTTGTTCACGAACTGAACCCCGTATTTCTTCCGAATCACGCAAATTACACTCGAGTATACATATTTGTTGCTTTGACTTGATCCAAAATATTAAACAGTTAAATTTACGCGATTAAATTTTATGTATTCAACATCAAAGTAAAAGTATTTATTTAGTTAATATAGACTGAGTGGTAATATAACAGTTCACACCATCTTATTATGACAATTACAATATACTTATCAGCAGTGGTTGTCATCAGTCGAATAGTCAGCAGGAACTAGTGGTACATGTTCTAAAACGTCGCCACAACATATACGAACTTTAAATCCAGAATGACACAAGTACGATTAAACTGTGTGTCATTTTAATGAACGAAATAACTCATCTTCCATCTAAAAAATATTTCTGATTAATTCTACACTATCCCAAGTGAAGTGTAAGTTTTTACATGTTGCTTACGCTTTTTTTAAGCCACAAAAAAAATCAGCTACATGTACCTTCATCTTGAAGAAGTATCTCAAACTTATCATACTGAAGTTTTGTCTAAAACTAAATTGCGAAAGTTATTCTAAGATCGTAATTGCTATTTACCAAGATATATCATACCAATGTCTATTAACAAGATGTATCAAACAAAGGGGGTAAAATCTTTGTAAATTAACTTCAGGGCTGACTAACTGATACTTACTTGATTATAAAAGTCATCTGATTCTTTGATGTACATATATGTTGGCTCCAAATGCCTAGTCCAAGCTTTTGAAAGAATTACGCTTGCTTCTGAGGTATATTCAGGCTTTAATTGTACTCCAAGATCGTCTTTTAAGTCAGTGGCTTTAAAAGAGTTTTTAATGCGTAATTCGCCCTCTGAACTAATTTGATTTTCTTGAACATGAGTGTCTTGAAAAGTCGTATCATTAGATGACAAGCAATTATGTGAAGGATTTAAATATGTAGAACGATTTTCTCCATTAGGCCGTTTTGAATTCTCGGTTAATGAAGGCATGTTTACCAGTCTAGTATATCATTCATCTAAATTTTATAGCACAAGAAATCAAACTTCAAAATCAAATCTAATTGTTTTTATTAAGAATTTCTCGATAAATATCACAAGATCTATACGGTTAAATCCTTCACGATTCAAAAATGTATAACCTGATCTCTGATTACTATTAACAACTAGCTATTATTTGATAATCTGTCTTCCTAACTTCGTCTCTAAGTTTGTAAAGTTTTATAGGTAAATTATAGCATTCTTAGACAAAATAATTAGCTTTCTATTTAGTACTTTTCCCAAAATTCAACTTTACTGATAAAAAACGTCAGCTTTATTATACAAACTTATACTGCACATCAAGATTGCAAGCAGTGTAAACTGAATGAATAGAAAGCTAAAGTTTGAAAGATGCTCAGATATGATCTGTACAGCATCAAGTTAAGATGATATCTTGGTTACTAAAGCAGCAGCTATTGTACATCGAATTGCAAATTCCGATATGACGAGCTTGGCCACGTGTCCTATAATTAAGGAAGTTACATCATAAGAACATAAATCCGGTGATCAATTTATCAGTAGTAACAGCTATCTACTAAGTTAAAAGTGACTAATTTGGCACTGATCGTCGGTGAAAGCGACGGATCCGGTAATCACTAACATTTTATGAGAAACTTGAAGCGAAATGGGAATAAATAATCACATATTTTACAAAACAATTCATACCAATTTATGACTAGATTCAACAATATTGTTAGATGTTCCTCGTTCAAGGTTGACAGTTAAAATGATCGTGAGAAGGAAATTACACAGGCAATGTTTATTAAAAGCCAGGCTTTCTTGAATGACTGAAGGAATAGAGTACATGAGAAACGGTGAGCTTGGGTTTTAAATGAATTATGAAATAACCGTATATGTATTTGATAATTTTTGCCAAATGTCCATCTTTAAATTGCTATTTGATGCATATATTTATTTTGTAAACGGGCCCAAAAGTAACCACTGACTTAAACGATAGTTTTTAAATTAGTGAGCATATTTATATTGACTTTCCATGTTTTCACACGGTAATTTACACTCCAGAAGAATGAATTTAATTACACTGAGTAGATTTTTACGGCTTTTCCAATTAAACTTTATTTATATTATGTTCATTACTTCAGAAACTGGTATTTTTCTCCTTGGTAACACTTATGACGACAGATTACTCCATTATCAACCACCGTATACAAGATTTTGGAAACATTAAAAAAACTAAATACTTAAAGATGCATATTTATTTTTTTTAAAACTTTACTTACAATACCATCTATAACAAGTCGATATTTCAACTAATGCGATGGTTTATAATAGAGTTTGATCGTGCAAGTGTTCCAATTTTAGTTTCCTATAAGAATGGTTTGCTTACTGTCAATAAAAACCCTTGCGTTATATAAATTGTCACTGTTTTTATAAAAGTGTGTGAAGAATTTCGTAATGATATTAGAGCTGCGTAAAATTTTCAAAATTAACTGCTCATATAAGGTAGACAGGTTAATATATACCGAAACGTTTAAGTATGTTTGAGGTTTTGCGGACAACTTCAATACGTCTACCCAAAATTTGATAAAAATAAGAGTAAATTTAGAGCTCTACACAAAGTCAGTGAAATATTCAGGGAAGAACCATGGAAAAGTAAAATTTTTAGAATTTCGGTAACATTCCCAAAAGTTTCCCAAATTTTACGACTGAAGCCTTCAGAAAATCAATAAAAAGTAAGAAAATTTGATGTATATCAACGGATCAAAATAATGACAAATTATGGAAAACTGGAAACTCATAGCGCGAAAACGTGTGTTCATAACTGTGAAGTTAGTTTCTCAAGGTTAAAGATAGGAAATGGCACACTGAAACAGGAAGGTTATAACAGCTACGCTTTTTGTGAAAAAGAATCATATCCAATAACTTTTTCAGTCGTGAGTATAAAATTATCGGTTTCTTTGCGTTCGCTTCTTGTTCTTTCGATACGTTTCCAGTCATTTGTTAATAAATATTGGATGACAGTTTAGCCAGTCGATTGGACTAATTCTAGTTAGGCTGCAGTTCCATGTAAATTTACACATCCCGTATTTTGAAGAGTGAGTTTGTTCCAAGGTAGTAGGGTTTCTGGATAATAACAGCTTTCATATTACCAGGTCGGAGATCAGTTCCTCGCCGCGTCGATAACAATAAAGAGAAAATTCTAAATCTCGTAAGAAAATTGTAGAACCGTATATTCGAATGTCAAAGTTATAGGTGGCGGAGATGGTGCGAGGGTACATAAGTTTGGGCAGGGTAGGGGAAACAGAGATAATAAACGAGAAAGGATGTTATTGATTTAAAAGAATGACAATAATAACAGGTAGCAATTCTCGGGACTTGCATCAGTCATAGTTGATTCATGAAGGAGATGATAATCCTAGCTGAGAGAACATTCCATGTTGGGACAACTCTGTACAATTTTCGAGGATTACTTCGAGAGGTGTGATGATGATGTTTCGGCAAGGTTCTTATGATGGAATGATTCAGTATACTTAATATGTTACAGATCGTATTCAGATCTCTTCTGATTCGCCTTTAACGCAGAGGGGATAATCGCAAATTATGGAGTCCATCGTCGTTAGGTTTATTCTTTAACCCTATTACCAATATAGTTGCTGATTTCTGCTCTCGATCCAGGAGATTTATCTTTTCTTAAAAGAGGATCGAGGCATTGTTCTGAAATTCAACGTGTGAAGGTGCGTATGTTTTGCAGAGAGTTGGGAACAGATGTAGAGTGATAGCACAATGCTGTATTCGAAGCAAAGGGAAACTTGCATTATCCTCGGCTGTATTCTTTATGTATTTTGGACTTGCGTAAAAATATATCAGCACACTCAGCAACAATTGCATCAGCAGACAAACCGATAAACATAGTGGCTCCACGATTCTCTGACATTTAAATCATGCGATTGCCCGCATAACTAGACGTAAAATAAGAATCTGAGAAGGAGGTATTTCACTCGATTTTATGTAAACTTGGTGCGCTACAGTGCATTTTCAATTCGAACAAGTTCTAAATAAGATGACTAAAAGAATCATTGTTGGTAATGTTTGCGGTCAATCTCTGGGTTTTATCACATGTCCGAAGATAAATTGCGCTATATCAGGTAAACGATAGACTGAAGAAGTTCACGAAGGTGGCCAGCAAGTAACTTTCATGTTACTCAAGCTATCTATTTATTTTGAAAGGTTATTTTGCTCAGTTCGACCTATGGGGAATTTATAATAATCAACAATGATAATAAATGAATCATCATTCAAGGTAAACAATCTTTAGCCAAGTATACCACAATTAGCAATCACTAGATTGAATATTATATTGAATGGTAGTTCTAGACACATACTAGGGATGCAATTCCTCTAAGTGATTAGGCTTGATTATTGTCATACTGTTTTTGTGACCGTTTGCAAATTGCTTCACGTTCTATATAAACAGTTTGCATCAATATCGGTTCAGGGTAAAATTATATTTAATCTAAGCATGCAGTTGCATCGTCAATAACGTAACTGTACTTCCAGTTATTTCAAAAAGCCAAGAAGACGGAAGAAATATTCTTAATGGATTACAGATTTCTTATGTTTCAGTGTTTTACATGATTCGTTTTGTCTGTTTAGATTTCATCACCCTGTTATGCATGAGAGCTGAAAACTGGATTCATCTAATGAAAATAAATTTGGGCACATGGACTAAGAAGTATTTCTGCTGTAATTAAAGAAAATGACTGCGTACTTCTATTTACTCATACTGACTACAAATATTACCACTTGATATACGAAATGGTTTATGGGTATATTTCGAAAGACATCAGACAAGATTTAACGTGTTGGATTTTCATGTACTGAAGAAAAACCTGCTCTAATAGGAAATTGCCTGGACTCGGTGAAGTGAAGACAAACATACGTAGAAACATAAACTTCAGAAATACTGAATCAAATTTTATGAATATTGCAGTAGAGCCATAACTGAATCATAGTACTCTTCAACGTTCCTGATTACTTCTTTAAGCACATCTCCGCCACTAGATCCTGAATGCTCTTTGCTTGTTTAAAAATCCGTACTGTTAACTGCATTGTGACAATGCTTCAGCAATAGTTCATAAGTTGTGAAAGGAACTTGTAGACATGGTGTTTCTCAAGGGGATAAGAAACATGGAGCCTCCAGAAGATCATAAAATATGATATGAACATCATTGTACACGATCCTAACAACAAAAAAGGAGGGTTGAGTTAATGACCTGCTTGCATCTAGCTCATTCCAATCGATACCTCCCAAAAAATTCACTTTTGATTTATGCAAAGCACCCAAGAACCCCACTGTGTATCCGTCCTATTTGTACTCAACTGTTTAAAATGTGGCATTACCAAACTGCTCCTGTTGTTGAATGTTATTTCTAATATAACTGCGATAACCATTACTGTAGATCTGTTAGCAATTCTGACCATCCAATCTAGGCTGTAAACTGGAATACGTCTCGTAACAAGTGGTTATTTGAGAGTAAATATATTATTGATAAAATTAATTCTATACTTAGTCATTCATACTGAAACTGATGATATATAAGGATGAAAGTCATATGTTATGCATCTAATCCAGCTATAATATTTGTCTAACGACTTAGACTCATAATAAATTAACTTAAGCCTAAGGCTACACTTTTCAGGCAAACTGGTGATCACTGGAGTTTTATTGTGTGTCAGTTCTGACAGGTTCCGTGATATATCATGAATAATTCTATGACCTTCGATACTTCTTATGACTGGTAGCCTTACTTTAAGTACATAAGAGTCAATTTTGACTTCCCTTCTACAACATTAGGCTTCATTTTTCACAATTTATTATTTCGGTTAGTTAAACTGATGTTTTATGAAAAGATGCTCAACAGGGGCATATGAAAGATGTTAACTACCTTACACAGAAATCAGCTAAATGACATTGGTTCAACCTGAGCTTA